TCTTGGTCGGTTCCCAGTCCATGGTTTTTTCGTGAAGAAAGGCAATGAGGCCCGACCGGTCAAACGGACCTGAGAACTATATGGATTGGCCACTGAGAATCTGGAGTCGGTCACCAGCTGACCCATGCTAGACCCCCATGAATGGGAAGCCGGGGCCCCACTCAAACTAGCTCGTTAATAGCTCACCGAGCACCATGTTTCATCCATCGAGGAAAAACGTGGCACGGCTCAGCCCATCTATTTTATCAAAAAAAACGCTTGAGGGATGACGATCACAAAGACGACCCGTCCCTCGACCAAACACCTGCTACGCACGAGGGCTCAAGGGAAGTTGGACTCACAAGGAGACCGAACACATGGTCGCAGGACAACGGTGCGAGAACCATCACAAGTAAGGAGGGATACGGAGCTGAAAACATTCCTACGGCCCATTCAGGCCTAGGAGTTCGAAGGCTGGCCCTCCGATGGGTTCACAACGCTCTGGGGTGCCCTTAGAGTGAGAGGTGGAAAGGGATGGGCTCACTAGCAGCCAGTACCCAGGCGCACGAGGCCCATGTTCGAGTCTTGGTCGGTTCCTAGTCCATGGTTTTTCCTCGAAGAAAGGCAACGAGCCCTTGGGATCGGTCGAACGAACCCGAGAACTATATGGATTGGCCACTAAGAATCTAGAGTCGGTCACCAGCTGACCCATGCCGGACCCCCATGAACGGGAAGCCGGGGCCCCACTCAGACTAGCCTGTTAACAGCTCACCGAGCACCATGTTTTGTCCATCGAGGAAAAATGTGGCACGGCTCAGCCCCTCTGTTTTATCAAAAAAAATGCTTGAGGGATGACGATCACAAAGACGAGCTGACCCACGACCGAACACTTGCTACATGCGGGGGCTCGAGGGAAGTTGAACTCGCAATGAGACCGAACGCGTGGTCATAGGATGACGGCGCGAGAACCATCACAGGTAAGGAGGGATACGGGGCTGAAAACATTCCTATGACCCATTCAGGCCCAGGAGTTCAAAGGCTGGCCCTCCGACGGGTTCACAGCCGCTTTGGGGCACCCTTAGAGTGAGGGGTGGAAAGGAATGGGCCCACTAGCAGCCGGTACTTGGGCGCACGAGCGCCGCGGGCATTCCGCCCACGTTCGAATCTTAGTCGGTTCCCAGTCCATGGTTTTTCCTCGAAGAAAGGCAACGAGCCCTTGGGATCGGTCGAACGGACCCAAGAACTATATGGATTGGCCACTGAGAATCTGGAGTCGGTCACCAGCTGACCCATGCCGGACCCCCGTGAATGGGAAGCCAGGGCCCCACTCAGACTAGCCCGTTAACAGCTCACCGAGCACCATGTTTTGTCCATCGAGGAAAAACATGGCATGGCTCAGCCCCTCCATTTTACCCAAAAACACTTGAGGGATGATGATCACAAAGACGAGCTGACCCTTGTTCGAACACTTGCTACGCGTGGGGGCTCGAGGGAAGTTGGACTCACAAGGAGACCGAACGCGCGGTCGCAGGACGACGGTGTGAGAACCATCACAGGTAAGGAGGGATATGGAGCTGAAAATGTTCCTATGGTCCATTCAGGCCCAGGAGTTCGAAGGCTGGCCATCCGATGGGTTCACAGCCGCTCCGGGGTGCCCTTAGAGTGAGGGGTGGAAAGGGATGGGCCCACTAGTAGCCAGTACCCGAGCGCACGAGTGTCGCGGGCATCTCGGCCTATGTTGGAGTCTTGGTCGGTTTCCAGTCCATGGTTTTTCGTCGAAGAAAGGCAACAAGCCCTTGGGATCGGTCGAATGGACCCGAGAACTATATGGATTGGCCACTGAGAATCTGGAGTCGGTCACCAGCTGACCCATGCTGGACCCCCATGAACGGGAAATCAGGACCCCACTCGGACTAGCATGTTAACAGCTCACCGAGCACCTTGTTTCGTCCATCGAGGAAAAATGTGGCACGGCTCAGCCCCTCCATTTTATCAAAAAAATGCTTGAGGGATGACGATCACAAAGACGAGCCGACCCTCGACCAAACATCTGCTATGCATGGGGGCTCGAGGGAAGTTGGACTCGCAAGGAGACCAAACGCGCGGTCACAGGACAACGACGCGAGAACCGTCACAGGTAAGGAGGGATACAGAGCTGAAAACGTTCCTACGGCCCATTCAGGCCCAGGAGTTCGAAGGCTAGCCCTCCAACAGGTTCACAGCCGCTACGGGGTGCCCTTAGAGTGAGGAGTGGAAAGGGATGGGCCCACTAGCAGCCAGTACCCGGGCACACGAGCACCGCAGGCATCCCGACCCACGTTCGAGTCTTAGTCGGTTCTCAGTCCATGGTTTTTCCTCGAAGAAAGGCAACGAGCCCTTGGGATCGGTCGAACAGACCCGAGAACTATATGGAATGGCCACTAAGAATCTGGATTCGGTCACCAGCTGACCCATGCCAGACCCCCGCGAACGGAAAGCCAGGGCCCCACTCGGACTAGCCTGTTAACAGCTCACCGAGCACCATGTTTCGTCCATCGAAGAAAAACGTGGCACGGCTCAGCCCCTCCATTTTATCGAAAAAAAACACTTGAGGAATGACAATCATAAAGATGAGCCGATCCTCGACCGAACCCCTGCTACGCTCGGGGGCTCAAGGGAAGTTGTACTCGCAAGGAAACCAAACGCGCGGTCGCAATACGACGGCGGACCGATCGGATCCTAGGGGGCCAGAATCAAGAAAAATCTTTCCGACCTCCCGAATCCTACGGTTACATGCCCCCAAGAAGACCGGTCATGACAAATGGGAATCGTCGTCCTACCAGGACACGCAGCGGGCTACAAAAAGAAGGCCAAGGCCCTCAGAGTCCTCCCGTCTGGAAAGGCCTCCAAAGTTGTATTCTACTCCTCCGCGGGCTCGGGGCCTACTGTCGTGTATCGATATTAGGGATACCCAAAGAAAGGAAGTTAGCGCCCACGCTGACTTCCCCGGATGGCTCAAGATGTATTAAAAGGTCTTGCCTGACCCCAAGGCCACGGGCTCTGTCTCGCTTGACCTCGAGGCCACGGGCTCCGTCTCGCCCGACCTCTTGGGTGCGGGCTTCGTCTCGCCCGACCCCAAGGACGCGGGTTCTGTCTCGCCCAAGGCCACAGGCTCCGTCTCGCCCGACCTCGACGCCATGGGCTCTGTCTTGCCTGACCTTGAGACCGCGGGCCACGTCTCGCATGACCCCTTGGGTGCGGGCTACGTCTCACCCGACCCCAAGGACGCGGTTTCCGTCTCGCCCAAGGTCGCGGGCTCCGTCTCGCCCGACCTCGAGGATGCGGGTTACGTCTCGTCCGACGGGGACCCATACCGCCGCCAACCACTCCAGGTCCAAGCGTATGGGTCTGGGTCAAAACTCTGACGCCAGGGAAGAGGCTGACACGCCTCGATGTAACCCGTGGCCACGACGGGCCATACCTGGGGATTCACATCAAGAACAGTGTCGGGCGTGCCGATGCTGTTCTGCCTAATCCTCGTATGGACGTTGACAGGCGCGTCAATTCACCACGACATCCGCGGGACAGAGTGGAACGCCATGACCGGTAGATGACGCCTGCGCATGGTACCAGTGACGAACAGGGCCGCGACATGGAGCCATCCCTATTGACATCTACAGGATCGGCGAGACCGCATAAAGGAGAAGAAGGGACCCGGCAACCCTGAAAGCTTTCTTCTCCCTCTCGTTCTTCTCCTTTTCCTTCTCTGTAACCCGCACTTTCCCTTCGCCTATAAAAGAGGAAGAAGGACGCCCCATGAAAAGGAGGATCCGGACACGGGGATCTGAACACAAGAGCACGACACGAGCACACGGCTGCGCGGCAAGCGAGCTCTCAGTACATGTTCACTCCTTCCACCAGAGACTTGGGATCCTCTCTCTCTCGTCTGTTTGTAACCCCTACTGCAAATCAAGTGCCGATAATACGAGCAGCAGCGAACTAGACGTAGGGACGTTCCGCCCGAACCAATATAAACCCTTGTGTCCTCCGAGCACACCATCCAAGCCAGACGCGCAAATACAAATTTACTCGTCGGTGGTCCGAAAACACCGACAATGTTCTATGCACAGATTGTTGAAGCTTCAGAGCATCTCTTCATTCATTGTTTTTTGCATTGCACTCGTCAAATATGAATTGTCCTGCTGTTCCATAAAAAAAAGACTCGTCAAATATGAATTGTATTGGTCAAATACTCCCTCTAACTTTTTTCGTTCAGCAGGACAAAGAACGTCAATGTCCTAACTGTTCCTACTGTTCCATAAAAAAACACTCGTCAAATATGAATTGTATTGGTCTCTAACTAGGGTGCACTGTACTATTTCTGCTTTGATCAAATCAACTGCACAGGTGACCATCATTCAGCAATAAATAAATCAAATAATTGTTGATATAGACGAAGGTCAGAAGGTGGGACCATGTCATCTGTCGGTTATAACGGTGGTGCTCTCTTTTTTTTGTGGGCTCTAATGATCTATATGATCCAAAATTTTCTCCTTGGACATCTCTTACAACTCATCAATGTCCTAACCATGACTAAATTATATACATATTCGACACAATTCTATACTTGCATTTGAAGTCTTGTCGATTTTTCTGATGAGCAGAAGTGGACCTAATATCACTCCGTTCCAAAAATTTTAAATGTTATGGCATTTTAGATACATAGTATTTACTATGTATTTAAACATAATATATAATTTAGAAAAGTCAAAATGACTTATAATTTGGAGTCGATAGAGTACTACTAGTTAATTATAAGATTCAACTATTCACTGTACAAGCGCGCACACCCTCTGATTTTATATATATGGTCAATAAAATATGAAGAGTTAAACTTTATTAGAATGAACTTATTAATGCAGGCCGGCAATATAGCAGACTGACAAACTCATATCACCTGAAACACATTCGCAAAAAAAAAAAAAAAAAATCGCCCTCAGTGAGACACATGACTAGGCAGCCCCTGATATACATATATAGCTCTAAACTCTTGCATGTGCGTGCACGGTCACAGCAGGCAGGGAGAGGGCGGCCCTAGAACGCGAGCGCGGCCGCGACCACGGCGGCAGCCGCCGCAGCGGCGACCGCGCGCCGCCGACCGGGTTCCGCACCCCCGCAGACGGCGGCGCTGCCGCTGGCGATGCTGGGGCTGGGGCCGGGACCGATCCCCCGGGGAACAACGGCCAACGGAACAACGGAGATGGGGCCGGGGCCATTCCTGGGAACGGGAACGGGAACGGGAACGGCAGCGGGGATGGGGCGACGGTGCCGTCGACCACGTCGATGACGAGCTTCATGCCGTTGTCGCAGTGGCTGGGCTTGTTGCAGATGAACCACACCTTGCCGGGCATGTCGAGCTGCACGACGTCGTTGCCGCTGGTCCAGTTCCGGAGCTGCAGGTTGGCGTTCAGGTCGCACGCCGCGAAGGCGTCCTTGCCGACCATGATCACCGTGTGCTTCTCCTTGGGGTATACGAACTCTGCGAGCGAGGGAGCAACAACGACAATGGGCTAGATAGCTTACTCTGTATAAATTCCAATGAAAAAAGTCGATTCATGTGCATGGTGGTGTGTCGTCTCGTGCGTACGCAGGCTGTCGCCGACCACGAACGTCTTGCCGTCGGTCCAGCCGGTCTCGTTGAACTTGGCCCTCCAGCCACCGCCGTCCCCGACCATCCACTGCGTCCCGGAGGCCAGCGACGTGAGGCACGCGACGGCAGCCAAGAGCAGCACTTGCCTAGAGGACGCCATTAGTTGCCGCTTCAATTCGTCGTCGTCCCTAGCCTGGCGTGGCGAGCAGCTACCAAACTATTATTGCTGCTCTTGCCAGTTTGCCACGCTATTTATTTATAAGGTGCCGTTGTTTCTGCCGAGAGCTGTGTTGTCCTTGTCAAGGCCTCCAAAACATTATAACAAGTTGCCGTTGTTTTCTGCTGAAAGCTATGTCGTTGTCGTCGTCATGGGCTTGATATTCACCCTTGGAACCCTAGTCCAAGTTAGAGCATGCCCCAAGAATATGGAGAATACATCAAGGAAGCACTTGGATGTCCTCCTCCTTGTCACCTCCTTAGTAGGCCAGCGAGGGTGTCCAAGCCAAGCCGAAGGCCCAGTCCAACTCGAGTTTGAGTCTATCTCGGCCTTCAGGACCAGCCTGCAGTAAAACGGACGCCCAGGACACATCCGAACTCCGCTTTCGACGATCCACATATGGATAGAAAGCTAATTTCATAAGATAACCAGTGGATTTAGTTTGAGGTCCAAATTTCACCGGAGTCAAAGGGAATCGTTGAAGTAAGTCAGCGTCCAGAATCTGTCAAGTGTTCCCTCACCGTCTTTAATTCGTTTGGGCCGTGTATCGTCTTTGAGCCCATTAGGGGGGCGCGTCCAGGGGGAGCGATGACCCTTAGACCTTATAATTAGTTGCCGCTGCCAGACATCGTTAGGTTTTGATTTTTGTTTTAGATTAGTCTGTCTTTGAACAGTCGTTGTTATCAGTTTGTGAAACCCCACATTGAGATCTTAATTATACATCTGCAAATTGTCACTTTACTTGAGTTGCATTTTATTTTGTTCTTGCCTGTGTTCTTCGATTCATAGTTTGTGAAACCCCACATTGAGATCTTAATCATACATCTGCAAATTGTCACTTTACTTGAGTTGCATTTTATCCTGTTCTTGCTTGTGTTCTTTGATTTGCAGTAGGGATTATCCTTCTCGGCGACGTCAACCGGATTATGATACGGTTGATATCTAGAGGAGACGTGGTGCTAAGGTTGTAGGGTTCAGGACTTTTGATCTGAAGCCAAATCGGTGTGTCGCTCTCCACCAAATCGATAGTTATCTTAAACCTGACGTAAGATCGAGAACCACGTCCTCATCATTGTGCTAAGGAAAAATATGGATTTAGAATCATATGACTATGTTCTGTGCAAAGATTGTTGAAGCTTTAGACCATCTCTTCATTTATTGTTTTTTGCTTGCCAAGGCCTGTTGGACTTTTGTTATTGAGAACATTTCCTATTTGACACTAGAAAAACTTATATGGTCCTATTTCACACACAACATTAAAATCTTTCCTATTTGTCACCCTTTTTATTTTTCCTTTCCTGTTAGACGCTTCTGTTAATTTTTAGAGTGGTAATGGTGTTAAGTTCCAGACGAAAAGTTCGTGATACCGAAAAAAAACAGGGCAAAACAGTCTCTTTGTCTAGGACATAACGCTGTTACCACTCTAAAGTAACAAGTTTCACATAGGAAAGAAAAAATAAAAGAGGTGACAAATAGGAAAGATTTTAAGTTTGGGTCTCCAATAATAGGAAAGCATAAGTTTTTCTAGTGTCAAATAGGAAATTTTCTCTTAGTTATTAGTCTTCATCAATGTTCTACCTATCATCTGAGCTATCTCAATGTAGAGGGAGGGGAGGAGCTTGCCAGGGGAGCCGCCTGTCGTGGCCTCGGCAGGGCTCGTCGCAGCCTCGATGGGGTTCCCATAGGGGACCGCCAGGGGAGTCGTTGACCGAGGGAGCGGGCTCGCAGGGGGAGCTGCTGCTCGAGGGAACAGCCTCACCATGGGAGGCGCTGGCCAAGGGCGCCACTGACATGGGGAAGCGGCTAGTCGAGGGAGCAGCCTCGCCGGGGAGGCGTTGGCCGAGGGCGCCACTCAGTGGAGGAGGAGCTCATCGCGCCCTCGCCGCTCACCGGAGGAGGAACTTGTCGCGCCACGTCGGGGAAGCCACGCGCCATTAGGCTCGTCAGGGTTGCAGCCTAGGAGGAGCGACGGATCATATCGGAAGCGAGGGAGAAGGAGGAGGCTGGACGCAGGAGGAGGAGCGCCACAACGGGATCCAGACATAGGAGGAGTGGCTCCCACCGGATCTGGGCGGAGGAGGGGGCGCTGCGACAGGAGGTATTCGGCGGTCCCTTCGTCACCGGATTTGGGCGACGCTTGGTGGAAACGTTGGGGAGTGAAGGGCGCCGGGAGGGAAGAGAGCGGGCACGGGAGCGAGAAAAAATGGCCAACTGCCGGATGGGGGCTAAGGGGGCTAGTTTGAGGGCCACCCAAATTTGAGGGCATGGGTAGAGGACCTGTTGGAACTGAGTTTTTTGTGTAAACCCTCAAATTTTAGTTTAGTGGGCTAGTTCGAGGGTCCTGCTAGAGATGCTCTAAGGATCCATATGATCCAAATTTATCTCCTTGACACCTGTTACAACTCATCAATATTCTAACTGTGACTAAATTATACACATATTCGGGCTTGCATTTAATGTCTTGTTGATCGCCTGATGAGCAGAAGTAACATAGTAGCAATTACTCCTACTATGGACTTCAATTATGAAATGGACATACTACATTGTAAAATGTATATGAAATATCAATCCGTCCAAAAATTTAAGACATTTAGCATCTCTAGTATCTAGACATCACGTAGGTGCGTAGTAAAAACTATAAATCTAGAAAAGCTAAAACGACTTAAATTTGAAATTGAGAGAGTATTCACTGCACAAGCGCGCACACACTCTGATTTTATATCTGTGGTCAATAAAATATGAAGAGCTAAACTTTATATTAGAATAAAATTATTAATGCCGACCGGCAATATAGCAGACTGACAAACTCATATCACCTGAAACACATTCGCAAAAAAAAAGGAGCACCCTGAGTGAGACACACATGACTAGGCAGGCCCCTGATTACATATTTAGAGCTCTAAATAAACTCTTGCTAATACTGCCTAGTCCAAGCACGAACAGCAGCAGTAAACAAATCCAAACCAAAAGCAATGCTCCCACCACACTGGAAACGAAGCCATGCATGCAACGCAAGTAACAATGCTGCAACGCGTGCATGTGCGTGCACAGTCACAGCAGGCAAGGGAGATTTTTTTTTTAATTTTAACACTTTTTTAAACTAATTTTAAATCTAACACTGTTTTTTTTTCTTCAAAACTAACACTTTTGGCCGCGCCTATTGTCATGGCATGGCGAAATGCCTGTAGCGCACCATGCATGGTGGCGCGACAGAAGGGTGACGTGGCGAAGACCGGGGCCGCTGACCGGCGACATGGCAGGGTCTGCCTTACCACTGATCTTGGCGCGGCCCTGACGCGCCACGGCGCATGGCGCGGCAGGATCAAATAAATATCGCCCGCGAGCTGCCCCTGCCCCTAGCCGCCGCCTGCCTCCCGCCACTGCCCCCTACCGAGCGTCGCCACCACAGCGCCCATGCGCCGCCGCCGCCCGCCGCCGTGCACGACCCGACCACCACCGCCTCGCCGCGCGCCGCCAGAGCCCGCGGACGCCCGCCACGCCGGAGTGGCCGGACGCCCGCCGCGCCCGCCCACTCCGGCCACGCCACGAACGCCGGCGTCACGGCCGCCGGCTGCCCACTCATATCAAGGTAGGCTCTCTCGATTCCATGTTATTATGATTGTTATTTTAGTTAGGGTTAGTGATTTAGGATAGTTAGGTTAGTGAATTTGTTAGAATTTGTTAGTGATTTAAGATAGTGGTTTAGAATTTGTTAGGATAGTGATTTAGAATTTGTTAGTGATTTAGGATAGTTAAGGTTTGGTTAGGTAGTTAGGATTTTGAGTTTAGGGATTGATTTTGGGTTTAGGTTAGGTAGTTTTGGTTAGATAGTTAGGGTTTAGGTCACTGTTAGTTAGGATTTTGGGTTTAGGGATTGATTGTCGGTACTTAGTAGTGCGTGATACGACGATTTGGATGACTTGACGAAGTTTCGTCAAATGCTTATTTTTCTAGTGAAATTGTTTAATATGTCTGTTAATGTTATTTTGAATATATACATGTGCTTTCATATTGTGTTCGTATTGCATAACAAGCAATTCAAATTTTACAACGCTACATAATGTTAATTTGAATATTGTTAATTTGAATACTCTAACCATTTGTTTATCAATTTATAACAGGATGGCCCCTCCCACGCAGCACCCGTTGTATCCCATTCTTGAGGTGGAGTACGACGACCAGCACCAAGCACACATCTTGAGTGACACCGACGCACAGGTGGCCTTGCCTACTTTGAGGCCCCGCACGCACACCAGGGTGCACCAGTGGGACGAGCGTTACGCGCCGTATATACGGCGTGCTAGCTTCCTCGAGCTTGTCCGTGTTGTCAACTACGGTCTTTCGCCCCTTGACCCAGCACTACTTACCGTAGCTGTAGACAGGTGCGAGTGCCTTCTTTGTACGTAAACATTCTTATAACAAATTTGAGTCAACTAACAGTCGTTCTATTCTTATAATAGGTGGAGGCCTGAGACCCACACGTTCCACCTACCTTGCGGCGAGATGACCTTGACCATGCAGGACGTGAAGGCTATCTTTGGTCTTCGATTGGGAGGACTTCCAGTGACGGGTATAGTTGACAACGATCACTGGAGGGAGCTGGTGGCTCAGTTCACTGGCTTTCTTCCACCAGACGATGAGGTTTCAAAGAAAAATAAGTGAGCAATTCAAGCCTATTTAATACTTGCATTACTTTCCTACAGCCATCGGGTCTCATTTTCTTTGGTGAATTTCAGGAAAAGTTCTAGAGTTTCGTCGTCCTGTATCATAGAGCGCTTTGATTACTTGGACCCACAAGCTAAGGAGGCTTAGATCGACAGGTTCGCTAGAGTGTGGCTCTGGCACTTCCTTGGTGCTTTCCTCTTTCCAGACGCATTGGGCAACATCATCAGCTAGATCTTCCTTGACATACTACGCCAGCCGTGGGAGAACATAGCGGCGTACAGCTAGGGCAGCGCAGTCCTGGCATGGACGTATCGACAGATGTGCGTTGCCTACTGTCACACCTCAGGGTATGCGAACCTTGGGGGTTGCTCCTACCTACTCCAGGTTTGGTGTTGGGAACGATGGCCCGTTGGGAGGCTCCTTAATACTGGTTTACTGGTAGGTACTTCGGTTCACTATATTATTCAAGGCAGTTACATATGATTAAATTATTAATGGCTATTTCATTATCGTGTTCAATGCAGCAATGGAACGGGAAGGATACACTCCCTACAGCTCTGTATATCTAGACGGAAGCAGAGTTAGTTAGAGGGAATGCGAGACGCAAGTACAGGGAGTACACGGATGGTCTCGATGTCCTAACACAGCACCAGGTTATGCTCTCTTTACTATCATACATGTGTCTTGTTTGATGTACACTATATCACAACCTAACTCAATTACGAAATGTTCAGGTGCATTGGTGTCCTTGGGATGCTCCGGAGCTCGAGTACTATCTGAGTCCTGTCACTAGGGATGAGTCAGACGAGTATCGCTACAACGTCCCTCTTATTTTCTTCCACGTGGTCGAGATTTACTTGCCCATCAGGGTCTACAGACAGTTTGGAAGAATGACAGGCTGTCCACCACCGCTTTACTCCACCAACCAAGAATTGCACGAGTGCGTTATCGATTAATAACAAAGCTACAATTCAGAGGTGTGTGTGGTACAACTAACATAGTTTTGTTGCAGGTATGACCAAGGATTAGCGCGTGACACACAACGCGCACATCGACTTGTGGCAGAACAGGGAACAACAGCCGGTCCATGAGGGTCCCCCACACGACCAGCACATCTTCGACGAGTACCTGCTGTGGCTTCATAGGTCTACGAGGACACATATCAAGCCCCCGTACACTGAGCAGGCGATTGACGAGGACTCAGAGGAAGATGTGTACGACGTTGCGACTAGGGAGGACACACAGCTATAGAGAGCCCCGCTTCAAAGATACGTGGTAAGATATTTGAATGGTACAATTTGTTATCTATTTGGTATTAAGTATGTGTACTAAAACTGTCCAACCGCGTTTCTGTACCCAGGCGACACAACTGTCAAGGATGTACAATGAAGCAGCGTTCCGGCTTCACGAGTCTAGAGGGCAGGGGCCAGGCGTTCTCGAGGCTTTTGTGGAGGTAAACATAAACTTGTCCGTTCTAAAAATATTTCTTTACTATATATGCGTTTGAAAAATATACTAACTTTAACATCTATTTATGCAGAAGGTGAAGAAGAGCTGCAGGAAGCTAGCTCAGAAGCTGAGCTACATGGCACTTGGGTGGAACCGCCACTCCCGGCGTGGTCGGGTGGCACATCTTCAGCCTCTTTGAGGACACCAGACGGCTCTTCTCAGCCGATGATAGGTGCCACTTCCGTAGTGCGTACACCACCACATCATAGCCAGGGAAGGACCCTACAACCAAGGACGACGATGACAACAACGACAACCCCCCAGGCTTCCGCAGACAACACGACCAGTGGGACGATTAGCCGCAAGACGAGATCCACATGTCTCAGCTAAGTGGTGCCCCGCTTGGTACCCAAGGAGCCTCACAGGTACTAACAAAGGTAGTTTCTTTAAATACGTAGGCTTCATGAACTAATGATCATAAAGATTATAAGTAATCGTGCATATCTTATACGCCATGCTCTGTGGCGCGTAAGTGCCGCGCCAATATCGGTGGCGCGGCAGACCCTGCCACGTCACCGGTCAGCGGTCCCAGTCTTCGCCACATCACCCTCCTGCCGCGCCACCATGCATGGCGCGGCACAGGCGTTT